TCTTCACTGGTTTAAAAATGTTCTATATGTCAATTTTCTCTGATGAAACTTGTTGAAAGCAAGTTTGTTTGCTCTTATCAAAATAATCAAACAGCGTGGTTTCAAGAACTATCAATTTTATTTACTTCTATTCATTCATATTGTTTTATTTCCTTAATCGAAGTTGTTTTTAGTTTTTAAAAGAACAATCAAAAGTGTGTTACTTGAGGTAAATTCAAATCATACATATTTTGGTAAAGAAAGAATTTTTGTTTGGATTGTCGTTCAAATAGAAGCATTAGGTCTATCTGAAAAGGCTTAGTGAGAAAATTCAAGATTTAGACTTTAGCAATTAGCTGATGCGTCGATGACTCTTGTTTTCAGCGAAATATACAGAAATATGACATATTCATCTTTGAGAAGTCCAACAGATATAAATGACTGTGACATGATATTGCCTTCTGGAGATTTGTGAAATCCTGAGTTCAAGAAGGAAAATGAATATCTTTTTGCAACCATTCCAATTAACTGATTCATAATAATCTAACCAAGCAGTCAATTTTTACTGGTCTAAAGATTTTTTGACCCAATTGGATCGAACTCGTTTAAAATTCTCGACCGATTATAATTCTAAACTGACTCTATCCATGTCAAAAAATGTTGAGCATAAAAATGATAACTAACGAGGCAAATGAGCTTCTCCATTATAACTAGGCCTCATTGTGTCGCTTCTTTTTTCTTTTTTCTATAGCAAATCTAATCTGCTGTCATATCTGACCCGAAAAACAGCTCTGCTCTCGTCTAGCAATGTCCTAATAGTTTCTCTTATTATGTGAACTTTACTTTATTTTAGCGAAAACCCCATGTAGTTTTGACCTTTTTCATAAATAATCGACCATAATGAAAATATCTTTGCGCATCAACTCACACTTTTCTAAAACTCTCCATAGAAAGTTTGGAGTATAATCTCTGTGCGACTAAAATGTAGCACATAATGGGGCCACTATATTACTAAGCGGATTAATATAACGAGACAATTCATAATGCTTAACACTATGCACTGCAGTTCCATTAATATGTCAACCATGGTCCGCGATACCTGTGGGAGGCAGCTCATATTGTTCATTGTATACTTCAACGCTGATTAGATATTGTTTTTAACAAAAACTGTGACAGAGCAGCTTCTGACAGGACTAAAATGTAAAATTTCCACGAGAATAGTGTTGTCTCAATCAAAGATGAGATCGGTCCCACTTTTTTTGAAATATAACCAATATAAAATGAAACATTCTCAAACCAGACTCAACCTAATTAAAAACTCTCAAGATTGACTACTCCCTAATACTGATCGATTATCCGTATAAAAAAATAGTTGGCCAGTAACTCTGATAGAAAATTTAATTTTCTATATTTTCAAAGTTCTTAGTTACATAGGTTTTCCATATATATCTTCTCTCATTCTAAAAAAAATGCCCCAAGAAATACACATATGTAAGGATATGTAGTTACATAACTACATATCCTTATTTGTTATATCATTCAACAAGGACAAGGAAAATGTTATATCATTTGTCCGTTTTTGTGATCTAACATTAATATCAGATATAGTATCGCTCCTCATTCTCTTTCAACCAAGCCGATTCTATCTTTGCTCTGGCTGGTGAAGAAGGTCAACACAAAAATGAGAGAAGGATTTTATATTATAATAAAGAAAAATAATCAGTGCTCTGTGTGAAAAAGAATGCTTCTGAACGAACTCACTTGTTATGTCATTCAACAGGGAAAAGGAAACTGCACTCAAACAAGATAATTTCTAAAGGAACAGTGTGTATCAACTGGTGTGGAAAGAAGGGGAGGGATTTCGAAAAAAAGCAGACATTCATCATTTTTCAATGAAGTTTATCAATTGATTAAATTTTCAGAAGATGAAAAACTGGTCATTATGCGAATCGAAAAAATGTTAACGATTTCCAATAAAGTTAATTACGACTAATGGAATCGTATCAATTTCGGACGACTTTAATTTTGACTGTTTAGCAATGAAGGCGCTCAATTTTTTGCGTTGAGGTTAAAAATATTAATTTAACGAGTGATCAAGTGTTCTCATTTTATATGATTTTTTTTGCATAGAATATTCTTCCAATTGATATAATTGCCAATTGGATAGTAAATAATCCGAAAAACGAGTCAAATGGAGAAATTTTTCAAGAGGATTTTTCCTACTATTGTCACTTAAACTGTGTATCCGAGAAATTTTTTCGTCTCCACTATCAAACTTGGACTAATAGTACATAGATTCGATGAGAATCTATTTGGTTTATATTATCTCTTATATTATTTGATTTAATCTATTCATACATAGATTTAATTAGATAAAAAACAGCGAAACTAACTTAAGCAAAGAAATGTTCTGCAAAAGAAATCAAATTCGAAATACTTTGATATAGAAAACTGTACTTCTTATCTTTAAAGAGTATTGACTTCAAAATATAGTATTTGTTCTAAAAACAGAAAACATATATTTATGAAAAGTGAAAGAAAAGGATACAACGTTAAAAAAATAAACGTGTCTGACAATTTATAATTTACCTTCCATTGGTTTGTTTCTCACGGAGTATTATTAATATCTGTATCACAGGTTCAATCAGATCGGCTTTTTGAAGACCTTGTCTATCTGTAAAGATCTGTCTACTTTTTTCTCATGCCAATATCTTGATAATAATAGAATAGACCTAAGTATTAATCTTCGTAGAAAATTCAACAAGTCATCCGAATCAATTTAGACGACTGCAGTAAAAACTTTCTAATGTGAATATCCAGGGCAATATTTAACAATGCACACCATACAGAAGCATTTCCTTCTTATTTGTGTACAAAAGCATTGAAGAATGTGAGTAGAACAAAAGATGGTCACTTCAGAAAGGCGTTTTAATTGGTTGAAATCTTCAAAGTATTGACAGTTCACTTTAAGGAAGTGTTTACTAACAATGGAAGGTTCCAAACTGATCCTTACAGTCTTCAATGATATTTTGTCTACATTTTAGAGACATTATGCTAAGAAAAATCCTAAAAAGGTAAGGACTGATGTGACGTATTTCAAGGGTTATAATCATTTTACTCATTTCAGTGCTTATCACAAGATATGTACAGAAAAATTGAACAATGAAATTCCTATCTCAAATTTTGCTCATTTATAGTTCTTGCTGTGTTTTGAAACACTCGAAAAGTTTCAGTGAATAAAGACGTTTCTTTGTCGAGATGTTTAATTTTGAAAAAAGTCAATCGTTTATGACTTTTTAGAATATCAAGCAGCTCTTAAGGATTGATATCTCCAAAACGAAATATTTTTTCTTTTGAAACTTTTCGAGTATTCAAATCACAAGGAGCACTACACATGAGGAATATTTCTAATTGGAACTTTGTTGTTCAATTTTTCTGTATATACCTAGTGCTAGGTAAAAAAATCAGGAAAATTTATATAATCTTCGGAGTACGCCACATCAGCTCAAAGACTCTTATGAATATGTTTTTGAGAAACTCAGCCACTATAGGGCATCGACCACTAAGTGAAGTTTGAGAATTTGCTGATTTTTTTATATATTATAGAGGGTAGTAGATTTAGTATTTGTAGAAATTTTCAGCTCAATCCTATAAATTTTTCCTATATAAGCAATCAAAATACTAATGAAACTATTAATATGATATTTTTATTATTTTCTCAACAGTTTTTACTTGATTTTCTTCAGTAAACCTGACTTCTACCTTTCAGTCTGTGAGACATGACTTCTCGTTTTTCTAACGATGACTGTTGAGGTATTGTCATTCTATATACAAAAAAATCCAGAAGCTTTTGTCAGTTCCATAAGAACTTCTGAAACATCATCCATAAAACATATCTTGTCCTTTTTTCTGTGTTTTGTTATTGACACCTCGCTCAATCGCATTTTATGTACCAACAACCAATCGCTGTGATATTTCTACGGATGATAGAGTGCATCAAGTTCTACTACCGAGGATATCTTACCATTTTCTTCATGAGAAAAGTCAAGCGCTTTTAATTAAAGTTATCGTTCCCGTATCATTTGTTAGATATGTTTCAAGATGCTGGCATTTTCCCCATTGAGTATGCTTGATTCATTGACTAATAGTTTCATGTTTAGATAGTTTTCGGTGTTGCTGCTATGAGGATATAAATTTACTAACCTGAACCTTCGACATTATCAGTTTTTATTAAAAACAAAATGAAATGCTTAGAGAATGGTCACTTTTTACAAAACAGTATAATAGCTGATATTACCAAGTTTTGATTGGGAAAAACTGACTTCTCTCCAAAACAAATTTGATATTCAGAATCAGCATAAAAAAGCTACATGGTAAAAGCATGTTTCATCTTGAAATGCTTCTGGTGAAAGTTTCAACTATACTTCTCATTTATTACCACTGAAATATCATCATGTGGTCTACTACGGAAGAAATTTCGGTAGAAAATATTTTACAATGAAACATACATTTTCTGCTGTAGCTTTTTTTGCTAATTCTGAATATCAGATTTGCTTTGAATAGAAGCCAATTTTCCCAAATCAAAACTTGTTATTGTCAGCAATTATGCTATTCTGTAAAAAAAATGACCCTTTTCTAAGCATATCATTTTGTTTTTGCGAAAACTAATAATATCGAAGGTTCCGTTCAGCGATTTTATATCTTTATACCATCCACAAGAAAAAATATCTAAACGAGAAAACTTTTAACCAATGGCGGAAATATAATCGATAGAAAAAAAGGCCAGCATCTTCAAACATATCTTACAAATGATAGGAGAACGATGACCTTAATTAAAAGTGTTTCACTTTTCTCATGAGGAAAAAATAAAACATCATCCAATTATAACAACTATTTTAATTCATCAAATTTATCATAGTACCAATAAATCTGTAACTACAGTTCGACAAGCGATTGTGATTGATAATAATTATCTTGATCTAGAGTTATTTATTTACTCATGTTCAACTAGGTCAACACCAATGCATGACGCTTTTTATTGTGAATTAATTATTGGTGAATTACGCACAAATATAATTGAACAAGAATATCCTAAACAAATAATAAATATAAATGAACAACATGATTTTGAAAATGAATTATTGTTTTCACTATTAACAACTATTGTTAATAACTTGATTGACTTTCTAATTACAATAAATATTATTGATGAATGTCAATTAACATCAGATTGATATATTCAACGTAAAAGAGCAAGAATATGTTATTTATTAACACAAGTGATAGAACTTGGTCTAGTTATACGTTAAGACAGTTTACAAATAGCTCAATTCGACAATTGAAAAGATGTACCATAAACAAGCCATGATTCTAATTTCCCTATCCTTCTTGATTCGCCGTTTCGTTTCGTATTTTTCTTTTC